ATATATATTTTAACCATAGGAATTTTTTTTTTCCCATAAAGCAGTTTTTTTAACATCTATATCATTTCATTTTTGAAGCGTGTCTCAGGATCTTGATTCCTGACACCCACTGGATGATTGTGTTCTATCTTATAGCCTCTTCTAAATTAAACTTTTTTTAGTTTTAGGTTTAAACCTTAAAATGTGAACATTTCAATTGTTTATTTGATGCAAAATGATTTGTTCACATCTTTATGTTTTGTTTATCTTTTACCAACTACAGGTTGAAGCGCTCAGATCACCAAATCTTATGGGACCATCGGCTCCACTGCCGTAGAGACCATCCCAGCAGCCTGCCTAAGGTCCTGGCCAGCGCGCCCAGCTGGGATTGGGCCAGCATGGCTCACATCCACTCCCTGCTGCACCACTGGCCCTCTCTACCTCTAGTCACTGCTCTGGAGCTGCTCGACTCAAAGTAGGTGTTGTCAACACATCTCGTACCTACGGAAGCCGAGAGCGGCCGTGTCCCTCTGATACTTTTACACAGTTGTTTACACGTTGTCTTAAGAAGACTAGTTAATTTTGTCATTATCTTAAGGTAATGAAGCCTTCTTCTCATGATAACGAGATGATTGGTGTATGTTAAAACGGATTACGTCCTTCAATACCACAACAGCGGATGGGATTTATAAGTATAAGTCATGGCACCCTATTTGTAATTCTGTAAATAATCGTGTGTTTAACATTTAGGTAACGAGACGACATTGTTGGTTTGATGACTTGCTTCCATTTCTGATTCATAAGCAATTAGACTTATGCATCCAGCCCTGTAGCGCCCGGATGTTTTCTGAACAGCCCCGGTGTTACGCCTGTATAAGATGCATTAACCCCCAAAATGAGTCCAGATTAAAGAGTTTTATTACAACACAGTCAGATTTGTTCCTACTGTATTCCATGCTATCCAATCATCCACCAGGACCTGACAAGGAGTTAAAAGAAAAAAGAAACTAAAAATAAACAACCATCTGCGCACATGCGGTACTGCGACTGCACAACTACTGGCGCCACAGGCATGGATGGACTGGGAGTCCATGGCTGTTGGCCAGCCTCATTCATTACTCATTAAGGTTATTAATCTTGTTATCTTGAGAAATTAATAACTGTTTTTTTGTGATAACAAGATTATTATCTTGTTCTCTTGAGAAAACAATGTTTTAACCGTGATTACAAGATAGTTATGTCATTATCTCGAGAAGGCAAAGAAAAAAAAAAAAGGAAAAAAAAGTCGAGTAAGACCGCTCTCATCTTCCGTACATAACGAAGCCACTGAGCTCATTTTATATTGAAGAAACCTCATCATTAACATGAGGAGATTGTAAAAATACGAAGTCATGGATGCAACCAAGAATGGAGAAACTTGACTTTGATTTTAGTATCGTCTGTTTAGATTTGCAGATACCGAAGTGAGAAGTGTGGCTGTAAGCTGGATTGAGAAAAGCAGTGATGATGAACTTGCTGACTATCTGCCACAGCTTGTTCAGGTACAACTGGTAACACGTATTGGCATGGAGAGCGGCGCCATTTATTCAAGTTCCTTTGCACACATTTTAAATTCAAAACTTCGTTCATCTCTCCTTTCCTCCAGGCAATAAAGTTTGAGTGTCACCTGAACAACGCCCTCGTCATGTTCATGCTATCCAGAGCCCAGGGCAACATCAACATAGCCCACTACCTGTACTGGTGAGTCTGCCTCAGATTCACACAAAAAAACAGCTACTTCAATGTTAACTGAAATTGCGAAGAATTGCACCTGAATTACTTATTTTTCCAAACAATAGCATATTATCTTGAATATTGATTGATTGATTGATTGACTTTATTGATAACACATCACAGAAATTTACTTTATATATGCAGAGGAACTCTGTACTCTTCCTCCCTGCTGTGTCTAAATGTTTAACAACATAGTAATAAACAGTAATTAAGCAGTTTTTAGATCTTGTATTATTTCAAAAAGCTTTTAGGACATTTTCATCAATATCTTTCTCCAAGTCAGGCGTCTGGTTTGTATGATTTCATGTTAACAATGACAAACCCTCAAAGTGTGCTTTCTCCTGTAAATGGCTTATCCATGTGATCGCCTCAGGTTGCTCAAAGATGCGGTGCAGGACTCTACCTGGGGGCGGCGCTATGAGCAGGTGCTCGGTGCGCTCTTGTGTCTGTGTGGAAGCAAACTGAGGGCAGAGCTTGAAAAACAGACTCACCTGGCCACTCTGCTGGGAACCGTGGCTGAGAGGGTCAGACAGGCAGGGGGATCCACCCGACAGGTATGTGTGTTTGTGGCGTTAAGCTCCAGGTGCTTCCTGTTCTGTATGTGTGTATGGAGTTACTGATGCCGTTACTGTGTGGCTGCAGGTGGCGCTGCAGGAGGGTCTAGAAAACATCCAGAATTTTTTCCAGAGAAACAGTTGCCGACTTCCTCTGAACCCCAGTCTGGTGGCAAAAGAGCTAAACTTCAAAGTAGGTCATTGAATAACTATTCTAAGATTTTTTTTATGATCATATTGAAGTTGGTATGTTAATTAATATAGTACTACTAAAGTATAGTATAGATTTAAACTATAGTCCTAGTGCTTTACCATTCCTGCACACTGTAGGAGTTAAATGAAGCTTTCCTTTGGACAAAGCATTGTTTTTGATTAATAATATTTTCTGCCATTATTGCTCTAAGACTGTAATTGCAATACATGTTTTTCTGGTTTATTTGCATAACGTCATTACCAGTTCCAGTGTTTGATATTTTTATCCTGCAGAACTCACTAAAAGAATAAAAAAAAAAAGTGTTTGTTTGTAGGCCTGTTCCTTCTTCAACTCCAATGCAGTTCCACTTAAGCTGGCGATGGTCAATGCAGATCCATTAGGAGAGGAAATCAATGTCATGTTTAAGGTTCGCTATACACCTACACACACTCAGACACAGACACATCAACAACAGAGCTTATTTGAAATCTCATTTCACCTTTTATAAGTATTAATATCCCTTCACAAAAAGCCCATCATTGGGTCTTTTTTAGTCTTAGATTTAGACAACTTTTATTGATATTTTTTTTATACACAGAATGTATATAAAACAAAATGTTGTTTTGTACAGCTTTCAGACAGTAAATGAGCAGCAGCTTAGCAGTGAAATAAACATTTCCATTCCATAAAGTGCAGGAGTGATCAAATGTAAACAGTGTGGGAGAAAAAAACACATTGATATGGAAGATCAGAGCATTTCAAGGCAAATATATATGGTGCAAATATGCAGTAATTTGGTGTTAACAGTGAGATGCAGAGTCTGTGACTTAGTTTAGAGTTTTTTTTTTCTCAACACTTCAGCAGTCGTCTTGTCTATGTTGGGAGCTGAGGCATTGTTGGTAACCTGAAAACCTGTTAGAAGCAGCGATAAAATCAAACTAAAACAGAGATTGCTAAAGAATGGTGTTGACTGAAGCGTATTGATGTTTCAGGCTATTTCAGTCACAACTTCAGACCCAAACCTAATTAAATCTGTCTTTTTTTGTCATATTCCACATACAATCCCAATAACAAAAATCGGAAGGTAGAGATTGTAATGTGGCAGGATGTGAGATAATTGAAGGGTAGGAATGATGCATAAGGACACCAAGGAAATGGGTGATTTTGTAGATCTAATGTTTTAGCTGACCTTGTTGACACCAGCTGGTTTTCATGCATTCCTGGTGAACTTTGCTCCCCCTGGTGGCTGAAATGAAATGTACCAATATTAACAAAAGTGTTTTTCTTATTGTTTTGTTTATACATCAGGTAGGAGAAGACCTGAGGCAGGACATGCTTGCTCTTCAGATGATTCGCATTATGGATCGCATCTGGCTGCAGGAGGGTCTAGACCTCCGCATTGTGAACTTTAAATGCATCTCCACTGGCAAGGATAAAGGTGACTTCATAAATATAAATGTATAACTCATGGGCCAGTTCTTTCTAGCTCTCTCTCTTAAAATGCTCTTTGACTTTAGGTATGGTGGAGCTGGTTCCTTTTTCTGATACCCTCAGGAAGATTCAGGTGGAATATGGAGTCACTGGATCTTTTAAGGACAAACCTTTGGCCGAATGGCTGCGCAAGTATAACCCAGCTGAGGACGAATACGAGAAGGTAAACACAAAAAGTACTGCTGGTGCCTTTAAGGTGCATTCAGACCGACTGCCGTGTCTGCAGGGATGTTCGTTAGCGCTGGGGAGAGTTCACCGCTCTGCATTTGAGATACACAGTGTTTACACCCTGGATATCAAATAGGAGGAGCATCAGGTGCATGAAACTGACACCCCACCCATGGGGAAATACTCAGCAAATAGACTAAATGGATAATAAAGATTATTTTTAAAAATCATCCAGAGGTCAACCACTCCCCATTAAGTTCAGAATTGAATCAAAATTACTTTTTGAGACTGGATTTGTGTAGGTAAAACAAATTTGTCCTGATTTTGTTTTAATTGCAGCCGATGACGTCACCATCCCACAGGACGTTGGACATTGGACGTCGAACAGTCCTTCTAGGGCTAAATTAAAACGCCTTTGTATTAAAGCCACCAAAAAGCCACTTTAGAGCATTCCTTATTTGTACCTTTGTTAACATCATTTTCTCTATATTTCTTTTTAACTGAAAAACCTACGTTACAACTACAACCAGTCCCTGATTAAAAGCGATTTCATAGAAAAGTTCAGGTCTTTTCATTTTCAGAGATCATCACGCAGCTTTCTCCATGCGGTGCTGCTGCTTGACAACACCTCAGGTCTATCTAGTAGCACGAGGTGAAAGCAGTGCCCGCTTCCCTGCCCTTCCCTGCGCGGTGTGACCAGGGAAACTATGTTAATCCCTCGCCGTCACCGAGGACACCACGCTCGGTCTGAATGCACCCTAAGGCCTCTTAGGTTGAAGAAACACCTCCATATTTGCTTTTATATCCAACTTCTTTTTTTTTTAAATCTTTGTAGGCATCTGAGAATTTTATCTACTCCTGCGCCGGTTGCTGCGTTGCAACCTACGTTCTTGGAATCTGTGATCGCCACAATGACAACATCATGCTGCGCTCCACTGGTCACATGTTTCACATCGACTTTGGCAAATTCCTTGGCCACGCCCAGATGTTTGGCAGCTTTAAAAGGTGATTATCAGACAGTCTGTGGCAGGGTGTGTGCTGTTTCTTGCCAGCTAAAGTTGTTTGGTTGGTTCACCATCAGTGATCAAAGAGTTTTTTGGGGGGGGTTTCTCTAAGGGTGGACGAGGATTTTACCGACTCCTGTGTTAATTTAACAGCTGAAATGTGCAGCATCAGCTGATACTGTTGTTTTCTCTGTATAGGGATAAGAACTAAGGTAGCTAAAGTTCACCTGTGCAGTTCCAGGATGTTGCTATAAATTGTTTGGGACTTCCAAGTTATCATAATGGTATTCTTATTCAGTTTTAGTCTAGTTTTATATTTTATTTAAAAGAAGAGGACTATAAATACTAATTGTTATCACTTTTTGGTCATATTTTTAAATTTAACTTGCATGTAAACAATAATTATGATAAAGTAATCTAATTTATGCTTCAACACTGAAAGGATCTACACTTCCAGATTTTAGGTTACTGAGTTTAAAGACTAGGAAGTGGCTGGTATTACATAATTCATGTCCTGCTTCCTCAATGCAACATCCACCCACTTTCTCAAATGTTGTTAAGTTTATGAATATATCCTGTTCCTATGGTATAAATGAAAGCCATGTCAATATTTAGGTTTTCGTGTTTAAACTAAGACTATAGACGCTTTTTTTCAGGAATAGAGAAGAAGAAGCTGGAACAAATATTGCACAGACATTATACCGGTATTTAAAAAGATAAGGAGATTTAGCATAGAGAAAAGAAAAGTCGAGTCATCGAGGCGTCAAAGTTTTCCCCCTTTCTCCTCCATTTTTTCCCAAAGTATTAAAGGAGCATTTACATCTTGACCAAAATTCCAGTAACTGATACTGGTTTTTAAGAGATGTTCTAAGTCTGTCATGTGAAAAGAACATGCACTGCAAAAAAACTGAAAAGTGTTCTTTTTTTTCTTAAAATAAGTGCATTTTTTTCTTGAATTTAGGAGGTAAGTTAGACACTTTGCCAATGTAACAAGTCAATTAAGAATGCAGTAAATATTCAGAAATTGCCTCTCTAAAAGAAAAGATTACAGCATTTTCGAAGTGGTTCACTAAATATAGCAATAGTTGCTGACCAGTGTTTCTTATTCCTTATCATTTTAATGCCTATTTCTGCTGCCTGATCAGGGATCGCGCTCCCTTCGTTTTGACCTCTGACATGGCATACGTCATCAACGGAGGGGAGCGTCCCACCAGCCGCTTCCAGCTGTTTGTTGACCTGTGCTGCCAAGCCTACAACCTCATCCGCAAGAACTCCGACCTCTTCCTCAACCTGCTGTCTTTGGTGAGGCCTAGTAAAAGCACTGTGACGGTACTCTGCGTCTGGGGAGGCCTTGGTATAAGCAGAAAATATGATTTAAACTGGTTGATTTCAACAGTCTGGGGTCCATTTTTTGAACCACTTTGGTCAGCATAAGCACAGACTCCATGTCGTCGGTTTGTTTTAGATCATTAAAGTAATCTGGGACCCGACACCCAACATTTATTGCCCCCTTTCTGTTTCATACCGAGGATATGATTCTCTCATCTGATAACATCTTTAAAAAATAAATAAGACAATGCAATTGCTTTTGTTTTAAACAGACAAGCAGAATTTGTTCCAACTGCTGCTAAAATGTCGCCGTCACCGTAGCGCTGATAGGTCTCATTAAGAGGGTTTAAACAGGACCAGCAGCGTGGAGGAAATCCTCAGTGGTTTGGATATTGAGACTCTTTAAATTGTTGGTTTGTTTTGAGATCTGTTAATGGCCCATACCATAAAATCAGCTTATGGGAACACCCAAATGTGTTAGTTCTGTACTTAATGCTATGTTGGGCAAAAACACTGCGGCTGTGATCAGTTACTGGGAAACAGCTAGCAACACAGCTAATCTGTTGACATCAATAAACAGGGTTCTTGGAAATTCAGTTCTATTGTTTTCTAAGCCTAAGTATTGTGTGCTTATCTTTCCTGTTTTATTAAAGATAAAATTGTGGATTTATAGTGGAGGAAAAAATAGATTTCTATTTAAATTATTCTCTAGCTGAGAGATATTTTTGTTTTCCTTGTTCAACTCACTGAACCAAAATCAAAACACTCCCATTCAAACCTCCAAAGCTTTGATTTAGATTAGATTTAGACCAAACACTGATTTTTCTAATTTCTTGGACTCACACGTTGATAACGTACAGCAGAAATCAGTCCAGTTTATAGACATCTGTAACGGGTGTCCTTGGGATGCCCAGTAAGTAGATAAATAGCCCCTGGCTTGCAAGGTTATTTTTGTTTTGTTTTTAAATGTCTAACAGATTATCTGTTGGGACATGTGTATTGTTTTAAAAGAATAGGAAATCCTGTCCAGAGAACGTCCCAACCTGTCGGTGAGGAATTTGGGAGTCGAGCAGAAAAGAGTATCTAGAAGTTGTGGATAAAATGGTTAAATACTTACGCTACCAAATGATAAACAAACACAATAAGCGAGTAAAGCACAAATTAAAGCAATGTTTTCAAAAACCTGTTTGCCTGACAAACGAAAACTGTTTTGATATCAATAGTTTCCTCATTTATTATACAATCATCCCAACCTAATGCTAAGATTTTAACATGTCAAAACTCAAACTCACTGATACTTTCAGCTTCTGCATATTTCATTAAACAATGAACCAATTATGATCTATATCCATGAATTTTTTCTAACAGTAAAAAATATATATATATTTTAAACTAGATATATGTGCAGTGAGTATAATTTAATTTTTTCTTTTTGTATTTTAATACTTGGCCTTCTTTTCAAAGATCCTCCTTTAATGTTTTTACACCTGCTGGAGCCAGAGGACACAGAGGCCTTAGTTGTTGTCTTTGCACCTAAACTAATACATTAGTGTTTACCTTCTGTCCTGAAATATCAGTGGAATGTGCCACATCTTATTTTACACTGATGATCATAGCTAGCTAAACCTTTAGTGTCTGTCCCCTTAACTGATTAGTGTTTCTTCCCGTAGATGATGTCATCAGGGCTGCCGGTGCTGACAGGTTCCCAGGACCTGAAGTACGTGTTCGATGCCCTGCAGCCTCACAACACCGATGCTGAGGCCACCATCTTCTTTACAAGGTAATCAGATGAACGTGCTCTTTGGAGCAAAATAAGCTCAAAGGTTGCTTTGAAGTGGTTTCATAAAAAGTCTGATTGTTTTACCTGCTACAACCTGAGAAACCACCAGGTGGCGTTAAAGAACAAACAGCAGCTTTCTGTGGAGATAAAATGCACCACATTGGGAAAATAAAACATAAAATTTTATTCTTTATTTCTTTTATGAGCTTTTAGATTTTCACCTTAATATCATCCCATCCTGTTTTTCTTCATCTTTTCTCCTTTGCTTCTTTCTTTTAGGCTAATTGAGTCCAGTCTGGGAAGCATAGCCACCAAATTTAACTTCTTCATCCACAACCTGGCTCAGTTACGGTTCTCTGGCCTTCCTGCTAATGACGAGCCAATCCTGTCCTTCTCACCCAAGACGTACACCATGAAGCAGGACGGTCGCATCATCCACGCCTCCATCTTTTCCTTCCAGAAGAGATACAACCCTGACAAGCATTATGTGAGCCCCACCGACACCGTTTGATCCTTGCCTGTCATTTGGTACTAGGACTTTCTTTAAGACGCTGTGTCTTTATATTCTGAGCAGACCTACGTGGTGAGGATCATGAGGGAAGGTCAAAACGAGCCTCAGTTTGTCTTCCGCACTTTTGATGAGTTTCAGGAGCTCCACAATAAACTGACCATTGTGTTCCCCCTCTGGAAGCTGCCTGGGTAACGTATCACCTTCAGGTTGTTTACAGGTGGCTGTACTGACTCACCATCTGTACTGCTGATGTTTCAAAATGTCAAAATGTAGAACATTGTTAATCGAGCAAATTAAAAACGATAGAAATACTCTCAGCTTTAGATTCCCATGAAAAGATCATGGGATTTTACTAAAATATCAATTTGTAAATAATAAGAGCTCACTGTTAATTGTAGAGGAATTCCATTAAAGGTTGTGTTTATCTGGTAGGACAATCAGCTGATATAGGATCTAAAAACATCTTATCTTAAAACAGGACCTAAAAAGATGTTAGATGATAATTTTTTTCTCATTCTGTAGTTTTCCAAATAAAATGGTGCTTGGTCGCACTCACATTAAGGAGGTGGCATCCAAGAGGAAGCTGGAGCTTAATAGTTATGTCCACAACCTGATGAGGAGCTCCACTGAAGTGGCCCAGGTACAGACTCCCCGTCTCACCCGGTACGCGGTGGCGCTCATTATTTAAACTGGTTTTGTTTTATTGCAGTGTGACCTGATCTACACTTTCTTCCATCCCATTGCTCGGGATGAGAAAACCGAGGGCTTAGAAACCACACCCAATCCAGCTGGTAGGTAGAGATCTACCACATTCCTCTGCTGGTGGGCGTTGAGCTGACGTTGCGTCTACTTTCACTTTCTCTACCATTGTTTGTCATTAGTCTGTCTCCTTCAAAAAAAAACAACCATATCCTTCTTGGCATTGTGAAAGTCCAAATGTTAAGGTGTGTGTATAATGTCATTGTTAATGTTTCTGAGTTTGATGTGTGCTGTTTTTGTGTCTCAGAGCCTCCGCTGAGTCCAACCTCTGGTCGGGTGGAAGGAGAAGTGAAGCTTTCCATTTCGTACAGAAACAGTACTTTGTTCATAATGGTCATGCATATCCGAGACCTGGTAAACAAACTTCAATACATACATCCAAAGAGCTCCTTCTTTATGTAGATCATTATGACATCATAACTGCATGTCTAGATATTCCTCTGAGTTTACATGCCTAGAGTCTGATGGAAACAGTTGAAACCCTGGAGGTTGGTAACCAGAAAAAGGGCCCGTCATAGAAAATGAAAAGCACAGGGAAATGTTCCTGCTGTTCAGGATTCTCCTAGTTTTATATTTTAGATATGTGAGCGGTGTGGGGTTAAGGGTCTTGCTCAGAGACCCAGAGTGGCAGACTGTGGGAGTGCGGCTTGAACTCAGAACCTCTGGATTCTGGACCCATTCAGCCTCGGTCAAGAGCCTGAGGCTGGATCAATTTGAATCACCCTGTAGAATTTCTAAGAAACTTGGTCAGAAGTATAATCTTGACCCATAAACAATTCAGTTTTTATTTTTGAAAATGATTCAATTTGTTTCGCAAGAGTAAAACAACTGCAGAGCGGTAATAAGTGTATATAATCTTCTGACTTGAACAGGTTTCTGAGGATGGAACCGATCCAAACCCATATGTAAAAACCTACCTGCTTCCTGATCCACACAAGACTTCAAAACGCAAGACTAAGATCTCCAGAAAAACCAGGAACCCCACCTTCAACGAAATGGTGAGATAAAAAAAAAAACACCACAGTTCTCTGCAATATATTCAGATCAGATCCAGTCTGACTTCTGCACATCTCCTCTCCAAAGCTGGTGTACAGCAGCTACAGCAAAGAAACCCTCAGCCTGCGGGAGCTGCAGCTGAGCGTGCTCAGTGCCGAGTCGCTGCGTGAAAACTACTTCCTGGGTGGCATCACACTCAGGCTCAAAGACTTCGACCTCAGCAAGGAGACGGTCAACTGGTACAAACTGACAGCAGTTCCTTACTTCTGACCCCTGCCTCTGGCTCTTCAGACAACAGATGCATTCAAAATATGGAGCTTTACAGGGAAATACTGGCCAGAATCCAGGACAACAGGAAATTTATGAAGTTAATTTATCAAATTCAAATAAAGTCTATAAAAAAGTAAAATAAATCAAATGGAGGGTTTAATAATGATGAGATTTTGCTAACGTTATATGACTGCGCTTCTGGTAAACTGGTATATATTTTATTGAAAGTGAGCCGTTTCTGATGAGTTTGAATGTGGCTCAGATTTGTCCGTAGCTCTGCGGGTTCTTCCCACATCACACGAATGTGTCCAGAGTTCCCACTTTTCCTTCCCGCCTGTAAAACTAATCAAGGTTGTTTGTCAGAGAAACAATCTTCTTGTTTTGCCTCCTTTTTAAAAAATATATAACTAAGAGCTGTAATATTTTGTACATTTTCTTATTAGAGGACCAAAATGGCTTTTTTCAGAAGAGTATCTATATATACTGATGTGTGTTTTGTTTTTTAAGGACGAGAAAGGAGAAACATTTCTACATGTTATAGTTAGGAACTATGTAGACACACAGAGAGGACAGTAGGATTTCCTGCTTTGCTGCAGACATGTTAAAGTAAGGTTTAATTCACTTTGAGGAGACAATTTCCCCAAGATGTGCCAAAACTAACAAAGAAGCAAAAATAACCCACTTATCATAGCGACTGGATAAGGTCGCCTTTCTTTGTTCTAAAAAGCTGTTTTAATGCACAATTAAGCCTTAATATTACTAAATTATGACTTCCTAAACAATTTGGCATGTCCTTATTAGAGATTTATGTGTAGTTTATCTAGAACAGGTCTGGTTGATGGACAAAATCATCTAGTTTGCTCATTCTTTGTTTCCCAGTTCCACACAGCACACCTTTAAATAAGGAAATGTTTAGACTTTGAAGCACATTTATTTCCCTCTTTTGAACATAAGAGATGCAGGATATAAGTTTAGTGGAGGGAAAAATGGTAATTTGGACCAGAGTCTCCTTGAATCTGGACATGAGTTCAGGCAGCTCAACCAGAGCCACTTTTAAGTGCCTAATATCACACTGTGATGAGCAACCAGTTAAAAAAAATCTGCAAAGAAATGCTGATGAACTCTAGAAATAAGGTTTTATGTTTAAATAAATATTGTGAATTCTGATCAGCATCTTGGATGTATAACATCCTCACAGAAAGGGAATAACCTGATTACACACTGCCATCTTATCCATGTAACTATAAATTTAAAGTTCTGTTCATATTTAATAAAAAGATCAAAACAATTCCTGATTTTCCTGCAGTAGTTTTTAAAGATCTATGATTTTCTTCAGGCACAGTTTCTGTTAACATGGCCAGTTATTTATTTTCAATCGGTGACCTCCAGCCTGAATGGATCAATGCATACTGTAATCTCTATTTCATAAAGCAAATTAAATGTTTTGGAAAAAATGCAGTGTTGCTGCCTCTTTTAACTTTGAATGTTTTTTTAGATCATGTTTGTAGTTTCATTTTTTATTTCATTTGGATTAACTAGAGTTTTTTTTCTGCTAAAACACGCTTAGTTTTTATAATTGTGAAGGGAGACTTTAACAAGCTATTTAATACACATGGTAAGCAAAACACAAGGTTTATCGGAAGATTACATACATGATCTTATAATTTCATAGCTTTATAGGCAGGTCATATGTTTGGGGTGCCATGCTACAAGCTTCTGTCAACCCATTGGTCTTGTGCTTTTTAGGACGGAGGCCTTCTTTAAAAACAAAAAATGCAGATCTAATTAATATAAATGTGTGATTCTCTGCACCTTGTCCCCCTGATTAAAGGTATAGTGGAGGACGTTCTTTTCCAGGCTGGATCATCTAACTAAGTGGTCCTCCTAATTGTCAATCATTCTGGTAATAAGTCAACGAAAGCCCGCCCAAGCCCCCCGCCCAAAAAAAAACCGCCCGCCAAAAAATAACCCCCCCCTCCCAAAACGAAGAAAAAAAGGAAAGAAATATGAATGAAAAGGGAACTTTTAGACATATTCTTAATGTTTTCATATTTCTGTTAATGTTTTTGGTGGGCGGATAAATCCGAAGGAATACGATTTTTTACTTTATTCACTTGACTTTATGGAGACTGGTGTTAGTCGATGTGCTAGTCGGCGTTCAATGGATATATTCTCTGCTCAGTAAATGGCATTTCCTGCTTTTGTTATCAACACCATTCTATATCATTTCTGACAAAATATTAAGAATATGTTTAAAAGTTCCCTTTTACATCCATATTTCAATCTGTTTTCTCATCTGTGTGCGAGGGTCAAGGGCGATGCACGCTCCCAAAACAGGAGGAAATGCTCTGCATTTATCTGTCCAAAAAAACTCAATTTTAGGGCATCCATGCATAACAAAAAATGAAAATATTAATACACATAAAAGTTCCCTTTTTGTCAATATTTCAATCTGTTTTCTCATCAGTGTTTGAGAGGGGAAGTATTTCTCTGCAGGCAGATTTTTCTCGGCATAACACATTGGTGAATCTGACATAGTGGAATAATCAAATATTTTGGAAAGTAAGCTGTATGAGTGATGCAGACAACTTTTAAACAGAGCGTGCATGAGGAGAAATGGGCACGAGTTTAATAGGCCTGCCCTCTAGAATGTTACAGGGTTGTTCATGTGAATTTCTTTTTTAAGTGGAGAGGATGGGTCTTTTCAAAAATTTGTGAAAATTCTTCACTATGCCTGTAATCATCCCTCCTGACTTGTTTGAAATTAAGAAGAATTGAGAAATGTGGTCAGGAAATGAAAACCCTTTTTATTGGTTGGTCTTGGTCCAACCTGCACAGAAAGAGGCTGAAGATCAGCAAGAGAAAGCAGAGTTCTGAAGAGCTGTTTGAGGGTAAGGAATATGTTTTGACATTGTAAGATTTTATTTTTTATGGATATCAATTTAAAAAACAAAACAAAAAAGGGTTTAAGATTCATAAGTATTCTTTGTTTAATTTAATTTCTGTTGTGGATTTTAAGACCCCACACTGGTTGATCAAAGACCCTGATTGAGGTCATGCCCTCAATTTTAGGAAACCGTGACATAAGCTGTATCTTAAGGGACTTTCTGTAGAAGTTTGGTAGCTGAGATTCCAACTAAGTTAGAATTTTCAGAGGCATAACTTTTTTTTTTTTGCCACCTTGAGAACACATTTCTCACTTATCTTGGAGTACAAAGTAGTTTTAATTCAGTCTGGTTTGCTAAGCTTAGAAGCAGGAACGAGGAGCATCTGAATTTGATTATTTAGATGCAGCCGTGAAGCACAGGAGACAAAACATATGTCACTACAAATCAGTCTGACATGCAAACTGGACTATGCAAGCAGGATGTAAATATGTAATTTGTTTTTTTTTTTCACGAAGAATGAACTGACACCTATTTTACTCTCACACCTTGAGTCACCAATTCACCTTGTTTACAGTGTGCACACCTGTTTTGATTGAGTATTATCACATAATTCTTTTATGTATACTTAATTTTTATTTTAAAACGTATTTAGAGTGTTTTTAATGATTGTCTTTTAAAGGCCTTTGATATTCTTCTTCTGTAGTCCTAACAATGTGCCTTTTATGTGATGACCACTGACTTATGAGGAAATGCAAAGTTTAAACAGGTAGTCGAATTTAGAAAGTGGTTTAAACGGTTTGATGTAGACTGCAGCTACCAGCAGAAGTTCCACGCTGTTTCAGAGACTAAAGCCCTGCAGCTCTTAATTATATCTGTTGTCTTCGTATCAGAACCTTGGATCAGAGTTGAAGTTTTTTTAATTCTCCACCTGGGATATAAACATCACTGCTCGATGAATCTCTGAATCAAACAAGCAAAACCAAAGAGCTGAGCTGGTGAGGGAGGTGGGTACAGTCCAGATACCTGGGATCCCATCATAGATCAGACAGCGACTTATTGAAGCATGGTAAAGTGAGTAAATGCTGTGGTACTGCCATATTTATTACATATATATTTGGTAAATCCACTATGTAAATAGTAACTGTTTGATGATAAAATCTGATTCGCTGTTTAAAACTATTAAAACCAAACCAAAAACATATGATTTGCAAATTCCTGAATCGTATCTACTAATATAAGTAAGTATTAAATTAATATATTATATTAAATCCTTCCAGTGGCATTATAAGCTGTTAACTGTATGTTTATTCAACCAATAAATCACCCAGCGGGCTTAATACATAGGAAATACAATTAAAATAAGAAGAATTGGTGTGTAAAGAAAAAAGTTTTAATAAATATAATTCTCTTGTGCATTTGTATTTATATAATCTATATTATATCACTTCAATAAGCGTATTTTATTATTCACTGTCATTATGCCCTACAGATAGAGCTACCATTAAGTTTACTCAAGTAAAAGTTGTAACAGTGCTTCTTAATAACGTTGTTGAAGTAAAAGTAAAAAGTGATTGAAAAAAGTACATTTTTAAATAACTTTGTGTGACCAATTGCTATTAAATACATTATTAACCAAGTGGAATAAATTAATTGAATTTGTCAGTTGCTCAATGACTGCAGCTCTTTTGGATGTTTCTGTATGTCAGGACATAAGTCTTAACTTAATTCATAATCTTTAAAAGTCTTAAACTTAATGTAGTGGCACCTGAAAACCCCCTCACATGTTTAATACATTGTGTTAAGATGATTTTACTGTAAAAAACTATCCAATCTCGTTGCCACTCCAATAAAGTTTTTGTGTACCTATAATATTTAAGTCTGTCCAAACTATACACATTAAGATGACACAACTAACTAAACTTTTTGAGTAGATCAGGTTTGATAGTGACCATTTTGGGGACCCAGCCTCATAGATCAGGACAGTAGGAATCCTGATCTATGTGACGTATTAAAGGTGGAGGATTTTTACGAAGTGAACACCTATTAAACTCGTGAGAGAATGCACGAGCCCATTTCTCCTCCTTCATGCTCAGTTTTAAAGTTGCTATTTGCATTACTCGTACAAGCTTACTTTTCCAAAAGAAGATTTGCAATTTTTCCGCTATGTCAGACACACCACCGGTAAGTGGAAATGGGGACGAGCACGTAGGACGGCCTTACGTAAACATATCACCAGAATGATTCACAATTAGGAGGACCACTTATTTTGATGATCACCAGGAAAAAAAAAAACATCCTCCACTGTAACTTTAATATTTGAGTCATCAAGAATTCAGTTGGTCACATTGTTCCACCTCTTGGGAAGTCCTGCATTCTACAATATTGACTAGATCCCAATAATCATCACAGCACCTTCACTCATGTTGTCTTTCACACCCATTGCCAAAAAAATCAGCCAATCAGGTTACACTGATCGCCATGAGTCTCCACCTCATGAAATACTTCGACTACGTAAACTCAACCTAAATATTTCAAGTTTTTAAACTCCTCGTATCTAACAGTTCACTGTACTCTAACCAACAAGTTGATGAATTACATTTTACAGTTTCTGTTTCAACCTGATATTATCAAATTGTTATTCTTGATCATGCAGAGTAGCAAATAGCTGGATATCATTTAGGTATATTATTTACAGAGCTTAGTAGAGTACCCAAAGATTTTACTCAAGTAAAAGTGGCACTACTTTAGCATTTTTATACTCAAGTAAAAGTAGAAAGTGACCCAACAAATTACTCAAGTAAGAGTAAAAAAGTACTTAGTACAGAGTAACTGTTGACTTGTATCCTAGTGCAGGGCAAACTTCCTTTGACCTTCACTGGGAATCACTGACAGCTGCCGAGGCGAGATGCAAGATGGTGAAACATTTTTTCGTGCTGCTGCTGCATATGGATTGTGATGCATTGGTGCAGACTTTCAGTTGTTGGGTTAGAAAAACCAAATAATCTTCACCGCCGCCTCTCAAGGCAGCAAATACAAACATGTTGTTATTCTGCAAGTTAGTACTTTTTTATCTCGTTGGTGTTTGTACTTTTAAGATGTTGAAGTGTTATGGCGATTAGCAAACGGGGGACCAGCCTTATGTATACACTATTTTATACTCTTTAATTAAGAAAATCACTCTGGTTATTGGAAGAGGTAATAATACACAAATAATAATTCATATGTAAATGCCGCTATCGATTTCAGGTAGTAAAAATGAGAAATTGTCTCACCTGGTCTTGTTTCACCTGATCTCAAAACGCTCAAGTTACTCTTAGTGAGTTGGGTAAGAAATTTTGCTCAAGTAAGAGCAGCAATACTTACAAGAATATTACTCAAGTATCTATTGCCAATTCTATAACAATGTAATTCTTAGACTTAGACTATTTTTTTTTGTCGTTTTGCATATACAGAGAATATCCAAAACATAGTTTAGTACATTCCTTAAAGTGCAGCAGTGATCAAATGTAAACAGTGCGGGAGAAAAAACATGGTATAAAAAACACATTGATATGGAAGTTCAGAGTATTAAAATATGCAGTATTTTTGGTTTGGTGTCAGCAGTGTGATGCAGAGTCTGGGACATGATTTAGAGTTTTTTCAACAATTCAGCAGTCTGATGGCTGTTGCAGAACCTGCTGGACCCACATCAGATGCTTTGAAGCCTCTTCCCAGAGGGCAGCAGGGAGAACATTATATGATGGGGGTGTGAGGGGTCATTGATGATGTGAGGGCCTTGGGACACACAGCATTGGGATGAAATGTCTTTAATTGAGGGAAGAGGAGCCCCAATGATCCTCTCTACTATTCTCACCACTCTTCTCCACCTTCCATTCTGAGACGCTGCAGCCTCCACACCACACAGTGAGACAGCTGGTCAGAACGGTCTCTATGGTGCTTCTGTAGAAGGTGGTGAGGATGGGTGGGGGCAGGTGGGCTCTCACCCATCCTTAATGAAGTTAATATGTGGTATATTTTTTATAACCATCAATAAAAACTGCCAGGGCTAATAAAACAAGATGCTTGCTGCCAGGAAGCCACAGCCAGACCACTAGCAATAAGTCACTCATAAAAATCAGCTATAACAGCTATATTTTTTTTCCTTTCACTGCTTAATGCTAACTTGGAGGCTGCGCCCTGTATAGAATTTTCTGCATAGCTCAGTTATAAAACCTCAAAAACCTCAATTTGTAGCACCTTTGGCGGGGTCAGCAGTAAGAACACTATCATGGGAGACATTAGCCTGTGACACGCACATATGTCACAAAATAATGTCCATCTTCTCCCACTTCATCATTCAGGGTCATGGTAGTGCTGGTGCCACCAACCATGTCCACCGAAGGACAATTTAGAGATGCCCATCAGTAATGTTTTTGGACTGTGGGAGGAAGCTGGAGTACCCAGAAATAACCTATGCATCAACAAGGAGTACATGCAAACTCCATGCAGGAAAGATCCTAGGCTGGGAATCAAACCCAGGATGTTCTTGTCGCAAGGCAACATTACCACAAACTGCAACACCGTGCAGCTCATAAAATAATAGAAATTTTGTTACACTTCTTGAGATGGGCTTGCCCTATAAGGTCTTTCACACAAAGGACTGAGGGAAGCAGCATAGCAGCTTGTGGTGGCTAGGGATTTCAGGAGGTCACTCTGCTAACTGCCATGTTCCTGGCTACTTTCTTACTGCATGCACTATTTAGATTGCACTTATCTAAATGGTACATGCCCTGATGGGGGAGTGGAGATCCTAGTGGTTAGGGCATAGAGCTTGGAATCCTGAGGTTCTAAGTTCAAGCTTCACTCCCACATATTCCCACTCTGAGTCTCTGAGCTAGCTCCTTAACTCCTGATTGCCCCACGATGGCAGCCCACTGCTCCCCAACCCTGATTTATCCTCAGGTGCCCCACGATGTCAGTCCACTGCTCCCCAACGGGATGGGTCGCACAGGTACACTTCTCCAATGTGAGATCAAAAAATTTTCAATTATTATTATTATTGAGGCGACTGTGGAGGTCTTTTGGCCAATCATATGTGAGGATATGGGATCAAAACAGAGATCAACCATACGGTCAGGTGGGCTTTTCTTGATATGCTGTTATTTTAAAAAATTTTATTAAAAAAGGTAAGAGTGGCTTTTTCCTAACAGAACAGTAAGTAAAGCTTCACATAACAACACAAAACGCAAAATGATTTATTACCATACTAAACATTCATATATCCCACTTCAGCTAAAATAAGAGTTCAAATATAACAATAAATAGAGATCCGTTTGGGAGCCGAGTCTTCTAAGGGAGCCGAACCCAGGGATCCGGATCTCTTGAACGACATGAATTTCCCAACACTACGTCAAACGTCATTTCCGACGCAGAGGCAAAAAATCTTTTTTTCGCCGCGTGTGAGGCCTCTCTTCCTCTACCGCCATCATGGGTCGCATGCACGCTCCCGGGTGAGCTCCTTCTTTTAAGATTTAAACCTATATTTAAACGGTGCCAGAACATTTTTATTCACAAAACGATGCAATGAGACATTTTTAGAGGCCTCTGTGGATTAAAATAGAAAAATGTAGTTAGTTGTACACCGGAAAAAGCCACCTAATACACGCTCCCTCTAAATGCCTGCCTATAACTAGCTAGCTTACATTTAGCCCCCTTGTCGCCCGTGGGGATTTTATAATAGACTCTGGAAGTTCTTGCATATTATATATTTTTTATAAGACAGATCAATCGTCAGCTAAACAGTTTATTAGTGCGAGTGGAAAATTAGATTACTCAACGTCCGCCATATTTTGTAAGGTTTGCAGATGGTCGAAGCTAGCGTTAGCCGGCCTTGATTCCACGAGTTCAGCCATAGCTTTCACCATGATACTTAGTTTTTTTTTTCTTTCCCAGCTAACACGCTGTCTTTCTCCCGAACTGTTGAATTTATTTTATTTTTTGTCTGATTACAGAAAGGGTTTGTCCCAGTCAGCTCTGCCTTACAGGCGCAGTGTCCCCACTGTAAGTACGCAGTTTATTTCATTTTTTCTGTCTTGATCCCTTCCTCTGGTAACTCAGCTTTTCTTTCCATAGTGGCTGAAACTCACATCTGATGATGTAAAAGAGCAGATTTTCAAGCTGGCCAAAAAGGGTCTTACTCCCTCTCAGATCGGTAAGTTTTTATAATCAAAATGCCGAAACAAATGTTTCTATTTAATGAGGAATTTGGTGATCAATTAAGAAAGCCTGTTGATTTTCAATTGTTTTGATCAGACATTTTTCCATCCTAGAGTTTAATCTGTGCCATCAAACATGTTGATTATTCAGAGAGGTCTTGGTAAAATGTATTGCAAATATAATATCAGGATTACTGCTTTTTGACCAAATGCAATATCATTAGTGAACCTCGTGCTTTACTAATGATCTCTGCATCATTAGAAAAAGCTTGAAGTGACATTACTTAAACAGATCTTTATTAAACAATAAGACTGTTATTGGGAACATTTTGCCATGAAACACAAATAAATGCTGCTGATACAAAAGATCCGCTCATTTTGAGATATTTAACTGAAGCAAAATTTGGACCTTTTTGATATCCTGTCTGATCAGAAATAGGAAAAATAATTGAGGGATGTATTCTGGACACAACTCCCCTGATTTACACTCATGGGACCCTTGAGGGAATACAGGGTTTCCACGGGTCTTTAAGTCAAATAATTTTTCAAATTTAGGCCTCAATTGGCATTGAAATTAATTAAATGTGATTAGTGTGGCATTTAGAATGCTTTATTAAAAATGTTTTACAATTTCATCAGATGTATCACAATATATTTGCGTGGAACTGCTTCAAGTTGAAATAGCCGTATGTTCGGAAAAGAAGCTCGAGGTGGAGAAAGAGCTAGAGAATGGGGAAAGTGCAAATTTCAACAAAAAGTGGCTGGAAAACGAGGAATGTGGGAAATGGCTATAACCTGTCGACGGTAAAGATGACGCAGGAGTTTTGTTTTGTTTTTTATTTGTAGCCGGGGAAAAGTTTCACCTAAATAAAGAATAATTAAAAGTGACCCAAAGGTTACAGACTTCACTGATAGACTTTTTAAAGGACCCATTGGTTCTTAAATACAGAACCTATTGCATGTTTGACCAGATGCCACATCATATACTTAGACCATTTAATGTACTCTAGCAAATTTTTATCATTACCTGGTTTTATGCAGCATCACTTCAATTGATGCTTAAAAAAAGACTAGATCTAATGAAGGATCGAAGGTATATTCATAAGATAAATGTTGAAATTAAGAGATGAAGTCCAAATGAACTGTAGTTGATGTCTGAGAAGTTTGACTGACCTTTTTAGAACTCATAAAAAATGTAACAGATGGAAAAGGGTGCTAGTTTAAATACTTGCACAAAAACAAAATTAATGGATTAAAAACATTTAACCTGGTCTGGACTAGGGTTGTCACGATACTAAACTTTTCAACTCGATACCGATACTAAGTAAAATATTCGATACTCGATACCTTTTTCGATATCACAAGAATAAAAACAAAGACTCTAAAATTCAACAGAAATATTTTCATTACTAAAAAAATACAAGAAATAAATAAAAAAACAATAAGAATAATATTTTGAGGTTGTATGCTGTGCACAATATTATACAAGCTTGATAAAAATAATTCTCAGCAGCTGCACCTGTTAAAAAAAAGTCTGAAACTGAAAAATGCACAGAATTATTCAATCACACAGTGTTCAGAAAGTGCATTTTCCTCTATTCTGCACTTTAGATGGCTGTATCGATACTTTTGAAAATGAGTATTGTATCCGGATACAACGTTTCAGTATCGATACTTTTGACAACCCTAGTCTGGACAAATTAGGAGCGGGGGGTACAGACTAAGGGGGAGAAGGGCAATTGAGGTTTGTCTTTAATATTAACAGCATTGCAGAAATTTTGTCTTTCAAGTCATATTGATGTGGATGTGCTCAGATAAACCTGATAACTTAAATATCAACATTTTTAAAACTTTTTCTTAGCTTTTTCTGTCTACTACATTTTTTTGCAGTGTATTTTCCAGCCTTTCCATCAGTTTTTCTGTTTTTCCTGCTCAGGTGTGATTCTGAGGGATTCCCATGGCGTTGCCCAGGTGCGCTTTGTCACTGGCAACAAGATCCTGAGGATCCTCAAGTCCAAGGGTCTCGCCCCTGACCTTCCTGAAGATCTCTACCACCTCATCAAGAAGGCTGTGGCGGTCAGGAAGCACTTGGAGAGAAACAGAAAGGTAACTAAATAAAAAAACAGGGATTGGGAGTAAACTGTATAGTCGTTTTTTTTATACTGACCTTTATTTGTTTTTTTGTTTAACACAGTGTTGGTTGTTTTGATGAACAACATATAAACATACAAATAAAAAAGGGAGCTATTAAAAGGGAAAATGAAACTGTAAATTTGTACAATAAACATGGAAAACAATCTAAACTTGTTCTGGCATATTAGCATGTGCATGATACGGGCTTTTTCCATTATTCTTATTTGATACTTTCAGGACAAGGATGCCAAGTTCCGTCTGATTCTGATTGAAAGCAGGATTCACAGGCTGGCCCGTTACTACAAGACCAAGAGAGTACTGGCCCCCAACTGGAAGTAGTACGTATTGGTTCTTCACTGCAAATTTCCTCATTGGACTTAAGTTACAGAAAATATGCTCTAAATGTGAAAATGCTCTGGTAAAATTAACTGGATTGGACCTTTTAAATCTGAAGAAATGCACAATTCATTGTCCTGCTCTTCACTGTTAAGAGTTGTGATATTTCTGTTGTGCTAGAAAAAGCTGGAGGTAAATTAGCAGAGCAGCTACTTGGTGCTGTTCCTGCCAGTCCCCTTCAAACAATCTAACTTCTTACCATTTAACAGTGCCTCCTTTTTAGCCACATTTTGGATTTTTTTTCACTTTATTTGCAAGTACATGTATTTTTATTAGCCATAGAAATGAGTCAATAACTCATTTTAAAAGGGTGTACTTTTTTTTTCATATTACATATCAGGAGGAAAATGACTTCTGCAATATGAAACAAATTGGAAACGTTTGTAAACAAGAGAAAATACATTGAGATGTTTGCAGTAGGGCTGAATAGCTTAATCAATTTGGTAATCCAATTAACTAATGGCACAGAACTCTGATACAATTTACTAGGGCTGCAACTAACTATTATTTTTCTAATCGATTGTTTACTTTTTCGATTAATGGTCGATTTGCTAAATGTTCCTTTTACAGAATTGAACCTGGTGAAGGTGAACCTTTGCCATTAGTGGAGTACTGGATAGAACATATTTTACAGACAAAAGTTGTGGGGTTTTATCTTGAAATTATTTATATATTACTTTTATGTTATAGTTACTGCCTTTTAGTGAGTCGCTCTGTCAGCTAAAGGCATGTTTTAGAGTCTCTTTACTCCAGTTATGGATCAATCTATTATTTAATCAGTTGATGACTATCAATAATTGTTTAATCATTGTCAGCCCTACAGTTTACTTAAAGCATTAAGAATAAACAGTAAAACAATATAAACCTCTTTCCTGTTTTAAGGGCTTTGACATTTTTTTGATATGTGCCATGTGCAACATAAAAAGGGGCTTTTTTCCCTAAATTAAACATTTTTATTAATTAAAGAAATGTGCCAGTTTGCATTTAATGCCATAAACAGATTGAATGATCCATTTATATAAAAAATTAGCTTAGTGAGTTTTATTTTACGCCTTTCTGTGCAGAATCAGAAGGAAAAAATTAGGTTCAAAAAGTTGTCAACAATTGAACTATTAAATACTTGTGTTTTTATGTATTGTTTTTTTTTTTTTTTTTTATTTATAATCATACCAAGCATAAATTATATTTAAAGCAAGCTGTTAAAATGTAAATCTGTCATTAGTGTGAATATTTACCAGTTTTTTTTTTCTCCCTCTCTTTACAGTGAGTCCTCTACAGCTTCTGCTCTGGTGGCATAAAGTGAAACCCTTTTGAATTAATAAAAAGATTTAAATTCAACATCGGTGTATGTGTCTTTTTATATCCCTCTAAACCGACCTATGTAACAAAGTTCACTTTTTATACTCTGCCTTTCAATGTAATCATAAAGAAAAAAGCTTTAAGAGATTATTTGTCTGTTTATAGCAGATTATAACCCAGTGATGCATTTTGCTTTAGTTGAATTGAAAGTTTCTAATGATAAATATTTTGATAATGAAAGTCTTGCCTTTTTGTTTCGTCATTTTGTTTTTAGTATAGATTAATGTGGGGTAGTCTTGGAGGACTTTCCTGGTTACCGAGGAAATTACGGGCACTTTCTTTGCGTCATACGTGACTGTGGGCGGGACCGGCTTTCTGGGGGCCGTGCTTTCGGATTGGCTGTCCAAGCGTGATGTCACCGCGTGTATATATGGGCTGCTGTTGCAACAAGAAGACATTCACTTACTACTTCGATGATCAAGCTACAGAGAACCATGGCGAAACACATTGAGCGAATTTGACGGAGGAGACGTAAAAATGTCGAAAACCAGCCGGAGAATGAAGCGACAACAGCTGTCACCGACGAATAAGCGGAGTCTGTTGGTTCTGGACGAGGAATACCAGAATACGTGAGGATATTTCTATAGACAGCCGTTAAACGAGGAGAAAGAAGCGGGGGAGAAAATGGCTACTACCGAGGAGAAGAGCTCAGAGTGGACGGCTATGGAGAGGTTCGGCGGCGGAGGGATGGCGCTGCTTCCCTGGACTAAACAGATGCTCAGCGGGCTGTGGGGACAGCTGCGACTGCTGCTTCAGGTCATCTATTACACCTTTGTTTCAGGTGAGAACATGGCAGAGGTTAAAGGGCTGCATCTGTTTAACTTCTTGACAAGTTGCTGGATTTCATACTTAAATTTCTGTTGATTAAGGTTTAATCACTGTAGCTTTAAGATGGAAATAATTGTTCTAAATAAAAGTGCAATAAAAGTCATTCAAGCCATAGTCATAATTTTATTTATATAGAAAAACTATTTATTACTAATATAAATGGATCATAAAGCTGGAGCCAATTTAAAACTGCATTGATCAATAAGTTTTACTTCATATTTGCATGATACAAAACGATTTGATTATGAGGGTGATGAAAGTAAAAAGCTAAATTGTTAAACTACCTATATTTTTATTAATAAAACATAATTTAACATATGTGGATCCCCATCATTATCAATTTTATGAACCAAAGCAGGTTCAACATGATAAATCCTTAGATTAAAAGGTGTGTGGTGGATCCTAATAGTTTATATGCAGTATAATGATTCATGAGTATAAATATAAATTGGTGATTAATGTGAATCATTTCCATGTAACATAATTTCAGTCATTGTTTCAGTAAACTCAAATATTTGCCTCTCCTCCAGTTTTTCAGATGTTCAGGTTTGAGGTCCACGTCAGAATCACAGACGAAACAGGAGAGCACATCCAGCATATGGGGACCACCTCAAACACCCCTGAATCCTTCCTGTTTTCCTCCTTGTTTGACGGCGACAGCGGAGTCATGGTCGGCGGCTCAAGCCCTCTCTCTAACTTCTGTGGCGAGGTTGGCGACCCCTTCGCTGGGAAATCCACAGCTGAGGCCCTGCTGTCCAGTCTGCGCGGTGACGACCTGTGCTGCGGGCTGGTGGACGACTTTGTGTCCAGGACAGCGGCTAAGGAGGAAGGCATTCTGCTCGGACACCAGTCTACCTGGAAAATGGGCTTCCCTGGTGACTGGAACATCTTCGTGTCGAGCAGCGATGGCTGTAATTCGAGCGACGCCTGCCACAGAAGCGATAAAGTCAACCCCAAAGAGAAAGTTTTCAAACAGGAGATGTCAGAGGAGGACAGGAGCTCTCAGTGGAGCAGTGAAGAGGAGCCCAACTTTGAGTTTCAGAGTCAAGAAAGTCAGGAGCTTTGGGAGTCCTTGTCTAAATCCAGTGATCCGTACAATCCTCTTTTTTTCTCTGCCTGCATTTCAACCAACTCAGACATGGGGATAAGTAAAGGTGACATTAAAACCAGCAGGGTTCCTGATCTGAAGGTGAGCGAGGAGAAGCTGGGACAGCCAGGGCTGAACATGTGGGTGTGCCGCTCCGACAGCGAGAGTAGCTGGAGCAGCTGGGCTGGTTCCGAATGTTCCAGCCCCGATATCGACAAGGAGGAAAGCGATAAGCTGTGGCAGCTCTTCAGCAACCCTGAAGACCCGTACAACCCCATGTTCTTCACTGCCAGTACAACCAGTAGCCCCACTCTGAAAACCAAATCCACCTCAGTATGTAAACAAGCCTCCCTCCCTGCACCTCCCCCCAGGTCAGACACAGAGCAAAGGCCAAGCAGCTTTCCTCCATTGGAGGACGACGACGAAGAAGAACTGCTCTGGGAATCTCTGGGCCAAAAACACGACCCCTACCACCCTCTGAACTTCCAGGCTTCCCTTCATAGCTCCTCAATAACATCTAAACCTGACCATCAAGCTCAAAGTCCGCCCGCCAAGACCAGGAAGAAGATAGCAGCTGACAAACCTGCTCTGCCTTCCAGAAAAGTAACGCAGCACTGCCATGCAGACAGAAGACTGGTGCCATGGAGGAGAGCTGAGCAGACAGCTCAGGCTCCGCCTCCTGAGGGGAAGAACGACAAACCCAGAACCAAGCAGAAAAAGGTCAATAAGTTAATATTTACCAAATATTTGTTATATGAAACTCAGGAATAAAATAGAGGTTCTCTTATGGGCCTTCAGTGAGGAAATTCACTCTGAGTATTACTGTGAAACTAAATGGAGATAGAGCAGCAGTTATCTAGGCTTTAACTGGGAGTGTCAGCAGTGACAGTCTTAACCCCCAGATAAGACCTGCTTCCTGTTTCACTGACACACGCTCAGCTGCTGAGCAGCCTTGTTGTTTGTTGTCGATTAGCAACGGCGCTGGTCGCCATGACACGTGACTCCAGCCAGCAGAGTTTAACTGCTGCTTTTAGCCTAGGGTCTGAGGCTACATGCATAGCTGGTCAGCAAGGTTTATAGAGGAAGGACTATTTTAGTTTCTAGTCCCTTTATTCCCCCCATTTAGGTTTGGGTTCATCTTCCAGAGCAACAAATCAGGCTGCTGTTTGAACTCCTGATTTCTAAGATCTAATGTGTTTTTAGATTATTTCTATTTCCTATGTCAGTCACCAATTAGTGGAGCTAATTGGTAATAGAGGTTTGTTTTATTTAACATGAAGCTAGATTTGTTTTGTTTTTTTAATGTTTTCCTACTAAAGTCTTTCTTTTTGTCTTCAGGTTTGTTTTTCTCCTCTCGTACAAGTCCATGTCATGCGGACCTGGTCCTTTGCCCGCCAGGCATCCAGAAAAGGTCCCTGGGAGGAACTAGCGAGAGACCGGGATCGTTTCTGGAGGCGGATTCTGGAGGCGGAGAGTGCCATCGGCTGCTGTCTGAGCCAGCCTCACAGAGAGAAGATGCGGGCGTATCTGGACAGTGCCTTGAATCAGACGAAGGGTCCTGAACACTGAACTTTTCATTTCCTTTGTGGATGAGAATCTGTGATTAGTTGCAATGCAACAGTGAATTTTTTGGTTGTTTTTTATTTTTATTTAGGCCGATTAGAAATTTGGATGTTAGGCCATTGTAAATGTTTGCTGTCAAGTTGAGCAACTTTGTACCTCAAGAGGTTTTATACATTGTGTAACTGTTGCACTGGCTGACACTTTTCTCATATTAACCTCAGCATTAATGTGTGGAATGTTGTTTTTTTGTATGCCTTATATACTGACCTAGTAATGTAACCTGTCGAAGCTCCGCGGAGCTTCTGCTTTGTTTTTAATCGTCGCCTTGAACTGTTTGTACTCGTTTTTATATGCGTGACGAAACCTCAGTGGTAAGTCTACGTAGAGGATGATATCATAAGAAAGCAGAGCTTTACGTCACAAAGTGTTTTGTAAACATCGACCCCTGGTGCAATCTGTGTTGTACTTTAATATTTATCCTTTTGTTCTGTATCGTTATATTTATATGCAGCCTTTTTAATATAAAATAAAAAAAGGCAGGTTTGTGACTTGAATCGGGGCACTTTGATCAACGTGATTCACTCAGCATCTCATGGTAACATCATGTAGCTTAAAGTTTTTGGTAGCAAATGATTGTTGCAACTTTGTTCAGTCAATAAAAATCTGATTCACTACATTTGTCCTTGTATTAATGAAATGTGGACTAAGACAGCAAGGGAAATATCTGTAAATACCATTATTGTTTAGGTAAGAGTCAATAGACTGATCCAAAGCTCAGAGTTTCTTTTAACACGTTAAGTTTATTCTGATTATAAACCCCAACAGAGTTTCTTAGAATTAAACAACATTGTTTATTAGCTAACAATAACCTGCTGGTTTTAAGAGGCCTTCAAGAATAACACTAGTTATTTGGGCTAGTTAAGCAATCTGCTCTATTAGATTCCTAAATATATATCATAAAGTTAAATATTCACACCCTCTAACCAAACTACCTTTCATCCTGTCCACTTTTTTGGTTTGTTGACAGAAAACCCCATCCTTTATAAACACTTTGCACACATGTTGAGAGGATGGATGTATTTTTCATCTTTAACCAGGATTAGCTAACATCTAAAGTAGATCCATTTATTAAGGCTGATTGAATAGAACTAACTTACCAAATAATTTAAACCAATCTTTGCTTTTTTTTTTTAACTCCACATTACAGCTGCTGCATAAAAACATTAGATCTCCTTTAATGTTTGGAAATGTAAAAAAATAAATTCTCTCTGATCACATTTTTTTTTTTGCTTTCCAGTTGTCTTCAGAGTGCAGGGCTTCTTCATCACTTCCTCTTCATGCCTCCTAACGTGCTTCATCCTCAGTCACGCAGACGGCTTCTGGTTTTCCCAACGGGGGGAAAGTCAGCCTCTGTGCATGCTAACTAACTGCTGCAAGGCTGTCATCAGACAAGTGCTGAAAACACAAGTATGATGAAATGACTTTCCCGAGGGATGAAATCAATTAGCATGTCTCAGCCTTCCTCATCCATCCACCCACAGCAGGGAGCAAAGGTGACAGCTCAGCAGCATGTCCTCCCTGCATGCTGGGCGGCCAGCGGTTTTCCTTAGCTTCCCTGTTTTTTTAAGTAAAAAGAAAGAAAAATAATGTAACCACTCCTTTTAGTTTTCAAACAGTTCTAGAATTTTAATTTTTGGAATAGCTCAAAGCTTTTAAAGCTACAGAAATAAACCCTCTTTGGTATTAGGCAGGGAATGAATTGTTAATCAACTGCTGAGTCTCTAGGTAACAGTTTTTTTTTTTTCTCTATGAAACATGAAGCAATGGAAGTGTTCAATTTAATCTAAAAAAAAAAAAAACTCTCCTCAGTCCATTAATGTTGCAACACTTCTCTTTGGACTTGTTCTCTCAACAAGTGACTTTGCTCAGGCTTCTACTGATGATCACAGAGGTCCATCATTTTCTGCACCTGAACTGTTTTCCACCAATCAGTCAACATCAGATAATTCTGCTGCTTTCATCTGTAAATAAAGGCCACCTCCTCTGTCACTGACTGAATGTCAAAGCTGTGACTTTGAACCGGGTAGGATTTACCATTAGGCAATACTGGGCAGTTGTTTAGGGCCCCAAGTTCCTGGGGGCCCCATAAAACTCTGTTTACATGTTTAGTTAATGCAACTATTCCTATTAATTATGTTTTAGATAAAAATCCTTCCGCTATAATACCATCAGGATACTTATAATATTAAGTGTTTCTCAGCCCCCCTCCATCAGTGTCCACCACATTGGATCAGTCCATTTGCTACACATGTTCAGAAAGGTCCAAACAGACAGCAGCAAACCATTTGAAAACCAACGATGCGAAGAGCAGTGATGCCAACTTAGAGCATTTGTCGCTATATTTAGCAACTTGTCAGACCCCTTTAGCGCTTTGATTAAAAAAAAAAGCGCCTACTGCCAAATATAGCAAATTTTTCTGCTACTGATGACACATAAAAACAGCGAACTCTGCTCTCCAGAGCAAGTAGATTGGTAACCCCGCCTCCTGCTCTCCTCTATCTTGTCTGCTGTCATGATTCATGCAGCTATTATTTTATACAAATGAAAAAAAGAGAACAGGTAAGCAGATCATGGTTTATCTACAGTGAAAAGAGGGACTGTATTATTTACTTTTGCCGTCACCTTTTTGGAAACACAAGAAAGAGTAATCAGCTAAGTGAGCTTAGTGATGAGAAAAAAATAATTCCTTTTGAAAGAGCATGAAAAGTCAATTGGGTACAAAACATAGAAAGGAAAACAAAAAAAACAAAAAAGGGACAAGAAGAGAGGGACAAAACCTAGAACAAACAAAATAAGGTTTGTCTATTCTATTAAAATTTCTGTATCTGTTTAATGGGTCTGTTTTATGTGTTGCCTTCTCAGTTCAGTGGGGCCCCTGCCTGTCTTTGCCTAGGGCCCCACATTTCCTAAATCCACCCCTGCTTTGAACCCAAATAATGATTAAAGTGAACAGAAGCAGCAGAAAAGCATGTCATGATTGTTAGGCTGTTAGTTTCCTATTGCTTCGTGTTGATTATAAATTGCTTTGGGAAATCTTTGGCTGATCCAGATAGTGATGCAGGACTATAAACACGACTATAGATCTGGACTTTGACTAGGCCGTTCAATCAAATAGATATACTCTAATCAGATTTTTTTGATGAATGGATCCTTTGGACTTTGACTAGGCCGGTCTACTACATGAATTAGCTTTCATTCAAGTCTGGTTGTCACTGAATGGGAAACACCACAGTGTAGGACTAGCAAAGAAAATAATTACCACATCATGATGAATCCAGCACGCTGTTTTATGATGGGGTTCAGTTTTGATCTTCTTAAGAAAATCTATTTAAAACAGAAAATTTAAAATAAAAGTATAATTTTCATCCCCTTTATAAAAATATGTATCAGTCATCGGGCCACATAAAATCCTAATGTAAAATCGTTTTTTTTTATTTTGAGGCAACAGAATGTTGAATTACAAACATTGAAAAGTTAGAAAACAATTTAGTTTTTGAATAAACTGGGAGCAAAGGCAAACCAAAGGATTGGGGTCCAGATTAGATGTTACTGCACCCTGACCAGATGGATACCACAGCTCATCCTCTGCCATCATTTCCCCCCTACAAGTTCCCCACTTCTTCTCTTCCATTCCTCATGCCCACCCATCTTTGCATCTTTGTCTTTATCCCTCTCCTCACCAGCGCTCCAAGCATCATAAGCTGGGTGGCCCAGGCGACCCCTGTCTCTGAGCAACCAGCTGCAGCATAGAGGCGTTGAAAGGATTGCAGGTGATTGCAGCAGCAGCAGGCTCAGCCACAGTAGTGGGTTTTCACCAACACACACACACACACACACACACACACACACACACACACACACACACACACACACACGTGAAACTGCCTGCCAGGAAAGGGTATCTCTCGGGTCACAATTAAGTGATGATGCAATCAAAAGGCAGCTATTGTGTCTGACAGGCAGACTACACGAGACACACCACAGCCAGTGGGCTCTTCATGAAAAGCTAGGGTTCAATAAAGAACCCTAAAGATATTATAGACAAATATTTAAGTCCATAGTGAGAAATCCACCCTTTATGTTGCATTTATGTTGTCCTGTTTCTTTAAAAATAAACCTTTTAGTGCCACATTATGCTTCCGTGTGAACAGTGAATCACAACTACAGGCAGTTTGCACTGCTTTCTCCTTTCAAGAACATGCAATCTAGTGACATGTTCCTTTTAGTTTATTCCAAAATAAAAATAAAAAACATTATGCAAGGTGTACTCTTTATAAATGCCATACACAGCATGAGCAAAACAGTGATCAGCGTTGGTAAACAGTTCTTATTTTGTAACATACTAGTTATGCAGCTGGGCGAGACAGACCAACGCCCAGTGTTAGTGTAATGCACCCAGTAATCCACTGGAGGGCACACAAGAGCATAGGACGTGACGGTGCGCACGTCCAAACATCAAACGTGAGGGAAGAAGAAGTGATAAAACGCCCGACCTGTTGATTTTTCCCATTTTAAATACAAATACACACCGATTCGCTGAGTGATCCAATTCAAGTATTAACATAAGTTCGACTATAGAGTTATTTTCAAAAACTTGAAACATGTATTTTAGTCTAAGCAATCATTGCTCCGAGCTGTCTCCACGTTTATTGGACATTACATGACAGAGTTGCCCTCTGCTGCCCCCTCGTGGACAGTTTTAACACCTTGTTCCCACACTACCTTACCTCAGTTAAAATAAAGAAGCAATAATAACAGGAGCTTCAGGGAAACAAGTGAATTTTGAACATATGTCAGTAAAACAGTTAAAGGGGGAAATTCTTAAAAACATTTCAGTTAATTCAATATATATATAT